AGTCCTATAAATAGAGGAGTCTTCAAGCTTCAAAAACACACATCCACCCCATACACTCTAGGTACACAGCCAGATACTCTAAACTGCCCCAAAACACCAAAACAGCTCCAGAAAACCTCCCTTCTATTTCCTACGAATTTCCTCTCTCTCAACCATCACCACTCACTCAAACTCATCCTAAATCACCTCCATATCCTTCATACATCCTTCTAGATGTGGAGAAGCTCTTGGAGAAGCATTGGACACCACAAGAACTTCATAAAAGGGTTTTTCTATTCTTATGGCATTCATTATGTTTTCCCATTTCTATTTTAGTTTCTTTTCCATTATGAGTAGCTACATCCATAACTAGGGCTTCGATGTAACCTAACGTGAATATTCTGGGTTTATAAGTTTGGAGTTTCAAGTTTGATTCATGATTCATGTTCTTATTCATTATGCTTATAAGTTAATATGCTAGTTTGAATGATTGATCACCATTTAGGCTTGCATGTTAGCTATCTTGGTTTGAATTAAGAGTATACACCATGCTTTAATTCGAATTGAACTATGAATAGGAAGAGTATGTATGGACATTCGACAACAGGGATTAGATACATGCTTGGTTGTTTAAATTGTTCTTCTATGCTTAATGGGTTCCTAATGCTTAATTTTAGGTTAGACAACAAATGATCAAATTAGGGAATTAGGAACACAAGGTTAGGACCAAACACCATGGCCTAATCATACTTTAGCTAGAATCAATCTTTGAATTTGAATTAGACTTGTTACTTGACTCCATATAACCCAGAATTGAATTGTTATGGTGATTCGAATGCCCTAGTCTCCAAATCTGTTTTCCAACTCTTAAAACCACTCTTTGTTACACTTGTTTATTTGCTTTCATTTGCAATTTCAGTTTGCTCACTTCCTTTCACAATCACAATCACTCTCACTTTAATTTCTGTTTTAGACTTAACTTCCTAACTTCTTGAATTCGGTAATCTACGTACATAACTAATTTGAACTTCTCAGTCTTCGTGGGTACGACCTCGTACTTGTCTTGCTATACTACTAATTGCCCCGTACAATTGCGAGTTAACATAATAATTAACAACACTGTTCTATTTCAAATTGGATTATTAATGTAATAATTTTACCAAGGACTTGTAAATTTCCATTCTTGCTGATAAGAAACCTCAGTGCCCTTCCTTCAAGAATTGGGTAAATTTCCATTTTTGCCGACAAGAAACCTCAGTGCTCTACTCTATAAATGAATAAAACCTGATGGTTTAAACTACAGCACATTGAGTTTTATACATAATAATATGGTGTAGCCTTGGGTTCAGCTCTCGACGATTTGAGAGTTCAATCATAAACCTTGATCCCTAAATCAGCAGGAGATGGTATATTGAAGTATTGTTTAATGGCTTGTTTTTTTTCTCTTTTTTCTCTCTGTTTTAGGGATCAAGTTTTAATGGCTTGTTTAAACTTGTAACTCATAACTTGGAAACTAAGGCATTGCTAAGACATGTTATTAGTACTTACAATGCTTATGTGAATCTAAAATTTACTTGCTCAATTTTTTTGCGAGATTGAATCTGAAATTGTTAATATTTCTAAAATTGTTAATATTTTATTGGTTGTAATATGGCATTACCATGTGAATCTGAAATTGTTATTAGTACTTACAATGCTTTACTACAATTCATTGATTTAGGAAATTGAATTGGCAGCAGTTGGTGCAGATCAGCAAAAGATTTCTGGAGCAGTTTGCAGCTTTTCTGCCACTCTCTGAGGTATTCTTCATTTCTCTCTCTGTCTCTCTCTCAGATTTTGATGTTTTGCAGAAATTCTGTATATTTTTTAGTTGTTTTTTGTGGATAAATGTCCTCTGTTATTAATAAGAATTCTGCAGAAATTCTGCTAACATTTGCCTTGTGTTGTGAATAAGCTTTCTTTAGTTGTGCATTCAAATTTATCAAAATGGTAGCCGTAGAAATTTATCAAATTGATTAATATTTATTAATTGGTTGTGCATAACAGTGTGGTCGGGTAGTTAATTCATTTCGTGCTTCTTTGACTCCTAAGATTGTGGAGGCCTTAATTTGCTCTCAAAATTGGTTAAGGTCGGATGACATATCCTCTTTACAATATGAGCCAACAATTCAAGAGATGGAGTTCTATGAATCAATTGAATTAGGTATGTCTTTGTAATTTTATGTGCTTTATTAATGTACTATATAATATGTATGTTTGACTAATGTTTTAATGGGTTTATATTTTTTTATGTAGATATTATGAGTTCATCCACACCTACCAAGTGTGCTCCAGCTACTTTTCAATGTTAAAGAGGAATTTAATGAAGTTGGATTGAACTTGAGTTGTAACATATATTTGGATTGAATTTGGGTTTTATTTGGCTTGTAATTTATTTTGCTAAAGTTTGATTGAATTTGGGTTGTAATTTATATGTTGTTGAAGTTTGATTGAAGTTGGATTGTATTTTTATTGAAGTTGGATTCATTTTGATGTGTTGAAAGCTTGATGGAAGTTTAAATTTTGGGTATTTTAGTATATAAATGCATTTCGGGCAGATCTGGAAAAAATGTAAAAAAATAAAATTTTGGGCCCAGCAAAAACCGGAACCGCAGGAACCGAACCGGAACCGGACAGGTCCGGGTTGGTTCGGATTTTTGTTTGGATTTCTGGCAGAACCGGTCCAAACCGAATCGGTCTGCAATTTCGATTCAGGTTCCATTTTTTAGAGAAAACCGGTCCAAACCGGACCGTGCCCACGCCTAATTTCTTCCTCTCTTTCTATTATTTTCTTTATTTTATTTCTTCTTCTCTTTTCTCCTCTCCTCTTTGTCTGATATGTCTTTTTGTTTCTTACTCTCCTTTGGTGCAATGATTGGATCTGTTTGCTAGATAGGTTTTTTTGGTATCTTATAAGATTCAGATATGGTTTTCTTGCATGGATTTGGCGATTCACATTGCTTTGTGTAAAAATGTCAGTTAGGCTAAAGAGCCGGTTCAAAGCATGAAAAACCGGAACTGAACCGGACCTAAACTGGACCGGATTGGTTCGATTTTCTTTGGCATTTTTGTTAAAATTCGAACCGGACCGGTGAACAGTACCAGTTTCGGTTTCATTTTTGCCTGAGAACCGGTCCAAACCGGACCGTGCCCAGGCCTAGTGGGAACTCTCTTTAAAGACAACTTCCATGAAATTTAATGGGTTCTTCCTCCCTATTTCATAAAAAACAAAGGAAAAAAAAAAAGAAAAAAGAAAAGAAAAGAGAAATGACTCCCATTGGTGACGTTGGAGATAGCTGAAAAGTAAAACCGTGTGCTCGCCTGTACACGGTTTCCAAGTCTCTCTGTTTTCTGAGGCTGCTAGCTTTGTTTCTCCTTGTTGGTTTCTTGGCTGATCTTGAGAAGTTGTATTTTTTGTGAGTTTTGGTTGGCTTGCTTCGTCTACATTTCCATATCTGCTTTGTTCAGGTAACATTAATTAAGCTAAAGCATATGCAGTTTCTACTTCACGATATCTTTTTCATTTTTCAAGCCATTTGTCATCATCTTTGTATTTGTGTTTGGATTTTTGAATCTTTAATTGAGTAGTGTTTGCAGGAGCAGCAGATTGCCAATGGAATTGAGCACCCAAACAGCCTCTGCCTTTCGTCCTTCATCTGAATGGAACCACGATGTGTTTTTGAGTTTCAGGGGCGAGGACACTCGACTGAGCTTTGTATCCCATTTATACCACGAATTGCAGCTCAGGGGCATTAAAACATTCAAGGACGATCCTAAGCTTGAAAGAGGGACACCTATTTCTTCAGAG